CAGGTGCTCATGTAGTTTTCTAACTGCTAGAAAACCCAGCAGTAAATCAGATCCTTGCTTACACTATTAGTAACTGTCCAAATACCCAGTGCAGATACCGTGCAACTGCTTGTGTTCCTGGAAGGGAGCTCGGAATGCTCGTGGTGCCCTTACCGTACAAGTTAAATCTTAGAGCTCCTGTCACTCAAACCAAAGACCTTTATCCTGAGTAAGCACTAAAGAAAAACAAATTGTACCTACAGAGAAATCGGGGCAAAGAGCCCTCTCGTAGGGACACGGGAGGCCTTGCGCATTGCGCACCCTCTTGTGTGTCACCCTGTCACCTGCATGACTTGCTGCCCTTGCCAGTGATGGGGTGAAAAAGCAAATACTAAGGAGGCGATGAGATGTGGTGAAATTTTCCTGTAGCCCTACTCCCGTATCCTGCCGTGTGCGCGTGCATCGGTGCCAGGCTGCCTGTGGAACTTCCCCATGCTTAGAAGTATGTTGCATCAACCAATTTTAACCTCTTTTAAAGGTAAGGTTTTATATTTATACATGAATATATTTATTTAAATACTCTTAATATTTACAGTGGCCGTTTCTGCTAAAAATTGTTACATGTGCCATCAGAAAAAAGGATGAAACACAAATACAGTAAGTGATGTTAAGGGTGAGACATAAATCACAAAAGCAAGGGTGTTGGAGTTTAGGCTTCCAGGGTATGCTGCTCCTGCTCTGTCTACTGCAGAAGTCCCCTAAATTCCCTTCATGGGAAACCATGCTAGTTTTCTACATGGAAAACTATCGTAACGGACATACAGTTAAATCCTAACCTGAATTAGTTGTAAGAAAATAAAAGTATATACTACTGCTACGAATATTAACTACTTACTGTATATAGCGCCTTTAATTTGAAGATCTGAAAGTGCTTATAAATAATGAACTAACCCCCCCTGCGAGGTAGGTAAGGATTATTATCCCTATTTTACAGATGGGGAAACTGAGGCATTAGAGAGGTGAAGTGACTTGCCCAAGGTCACAGGTGAGTCAGTGGCAGAGCTGGGACTAGCCCGCAGAAGTCCGGTTCCCTAATCCTCTGCTCTGACCGCTGTGCATGCTTCCTCTGTGGGGACCACACATACAAATACGTGAGTATTTACACAGAGACCAGGAAGTGAGTAATATACAAATGCAATTATCCGAATAATCTGCAGAGATATGTCAGTTAATTTCTTGTTTCTAAAACAACTTAGTTAATCTCTGACCTGAGTACAAACACCTCCTATCTCTAGTTGATACTTTTAACCTTGGATGTTACTTGTTAACTTTTTACTTGGTGATCATTTGTAGGTGTGCTGCTTTAAAAAGCCAGGTGAAAATGACACAGGGGTTGGGAGGTGAGAAATAAAGCAACTTCAAGAGCAAGAAACCTAAAGAAAGGGCAAGTGGTCGAGATCTCTGTTATTCCTAATTCCAAATTCCCTTGCATATGGATAAGGATTATTATTGAAGCCCACAGAATAAAGGCCAGGCGTGTCCCAGTTGGAGCACAGCTGTGCATCTTGAACCCAAGCCAAGGAAAAGTGTAACTCCTCACAGGAGAAGCTCAAAGTGTCCCGTCAGCTCCTACCCTGGCCGCTTGCACAGAGAGCACAGGAGTAGTTCGCTGATTTCTCTGAAGGAAAGAATAACTTTCCCTAAAAGATGTTTTCCTTTTGAGCAACTGAAAATGGAAGAATACTAGCAAAACCCCAAATACTGTGACTGCAAGTGAATAAAAAAAAACCCCACAGGTTTTGCTTTATCAAATGTATTTTTCACAAGATACTTTAATTTCCCTCCCCTGAAGCTCATTTTAGAGTAATAATAATAATTTGCCAGCTGCTATAAAGTCTGTTGCTACGAAAGGCAATGCATAGATGCAATCAAACAGAATTTTGCCTTTTGGGGGATCAATCTGACCGTTTTGCAAACTCCTGGACACATGTATTAATCACAGCCGAATCAAATATTTGTGTTAAATTCCAAAGTGAGCTCAGCCTTAGCTCATAGATGGGAGCGAGGAAGTATCTGAGTCATGAAACAAATCCCGGGGGAGCCCCAGCCAAGCAGCCATGTGATGGACCTCTCACTTTTAACGTGACATTATCGACAGATCTTTGCAAACAGCATTATCTGTCACACCATTCCAATGTGGCAGTTCCTACCCTTGCCCTTTCAGGACACAGCAGGGGAACTGACTCACGCACTTTGCACAGAAGGAATTTACGCTGCCCGCTGCCACCTTTACATTTTTGGGGGGCACCACTGCAGAGTTAATTGCATTTCATTTTGTTATTTGTACCTGTTAATGCAGTGCTGCGTTGGAATGACACAATATAATTGTCACCGGTTAGCAGTGTGCTTGCTCTCATGGAAAAGTTAAAAACCTTTCTACTGTTCCAAGGATATGAACCCTGCTTCTGTCCCAGGCTCAAACTCAGTTGATGTAATCTGCATAACCATACTTGAATTTTTTTCATTCTTGTTACACAGGAAATACCATAAAGATTTGCTGCCCCCATGTCAAGTAGAGTTCATAAACTGCAGTGTGCTTAGGTGAGGCAGAAAATGATTCAAACCCTTTCCTTCATCCCCCGGTAGCAGCTCTTGCTAATGTTCATCTTTCCAGAAATGTGCTCAGTTTGGTTTATTAAACTGTACGGCTTTTATTGGGAGCTGCTTTGGGAATTACTTTTGGTTAATTATCGATGGATTTGCCTCTCATAAAAGATGGGGCTGCTGGATTGCTTCACGAACAATCAGCAAGCTGCTCCTGACCCTCAGATTTTGCAAGTCTCCTGTGTAGCACCAATGTCAGTTTGCTCGGCCTTTCATAAAGGAAGAGGAGATGCAGTTTTCAAAGACAACTCTAACCCTGCAATTAGTATGAAAGCCTGAAATCTGTTGATAGAAAAATGCTTTTCACTCTGCCTTAACTATAACACATCTAGAGGCTCTAATATTTGGGGCATTATACTGCATTCTGGTAACAAGACTGGTGTCACTTAGGAGCAAGGAATAAACATTTTTGAGTCTCTGGTCCTAGTTGCTGATTTTTCTTGACACCAGAGCTGGCCTAGAGCCATGGTCTCCACCTCGAGGTTCCCGTGAGTCTGGAACTCCGCTGCAGGAGCTGGCTGCATCGCTCACGTTTCTCTCTGAGGTAAGCGTGCTCAATCATGACCTTTACGTAATGCTGTAGAGGTGCCCACTAACAAGGTGGTTTTCCTTAACAAGAGGAGGGAGCCAGGTTTAAAACTGGGGCAGATTATCCAGCTGCGGGCATCCCAGCATCTCTTCTGGGGGGGACTGCTGCCGTGAGAAATCCCTCTCCTCCTGCCCCTCTGCGCTGCCATGAGAGCTGCTCGTGCCCCCCCTTGCTGGTAAAATCTGACCAGTGCCAATGGGAGGTATAGATTTTCCAGCCTTACGCATTTACAAATGCAATTCACAACCTAGGTCACAGAAGAGGTGATTTCTGGCAACCCCCCTTGGGATACGCTCCGGCTCATGTAACCTCTCCTGGGAACGGAGCCTTCGGTGTGACTGCACGAGCGCAGGAACGGAGCTCTGTCATGGGGAAGGCCATTTCTGAGCTCCCGCTCAGGACTTGCTCCTGCCAAGAAAGCAGCTAACTAACAACAGCGCTGTAGTGGTAGTAAGTGCCAATCATCTGTGTTTCTTAGCGACACCACAGAAGAAAGTTCAAGTATCACGTTTTTTTAAAAAAAAAAAAAAAAATCAGCATTAAAAATTCAACCATTTTGCCCTTGATGGGGTTGTCTCCTCCGCTCTCTGATGCTCCTCAGGACAAAAGCAGTGACGTGGCTAGGCCCTGTCCAGACACTACCCCAACCGGGGCAATAAAAGATAACATCTACTGCCGCACTCCTTTTTGTTGCACCTTAGAAAAGGAACTGCAGAGACTTTCCAGGCTGCCAGATGCAGTTTGAGCTGCTATTGCCTAGGTTGCTTCTTCAGAAATGCAGCTCACAGGCCCAGGGAAGACCATCTCTCTTAGCACTTGCCATGTACCAGGAGGATGATTTTCTTCCGAAAGCCTGACATCCATCAGAGAGGCAGCAAAAAGCGAATGCAGCAGTGGAAGTAAGATTAGGAATTTCAAAAAAAAAAACCCAGATACAGCTTGAGGGATGGGGTGTAAGGGCAAGGCTCAGGGCTGGGTTTGGGTTCAGCCCATTCGTTTGTGTTTCAAGCGGACACAGCTGGTTTGGGGTCAGTTCACCTACACAGAAGCTGGCAGCAAGGCCAGGTGCTGGCTTCCACTGTCAGCCTAACTGGAAGGGCATTCTGTTCCCTACAGGGGGAATTTTTTGTGGGAATTATGTATATAAGCAAATCATAACATGTTCTAGCTGGATGATCAAAGGGGTCTCTTATTCAGCAACAATTTACAATATTAATATAATAACCTGAAAAAACACACACAACTGAAAGAATTAGAGGTCATATTGCTTAAAAAAACCAAAAAGCCAGTTATAAGTTGAAACCCTTTCTAAAAAGATTTTAAATATGATTCTCGGCCTCCTGCTAAGCCACTGCTCACCAGCTGGTTATGCTGATGAGGAAAAAACTGAGCAGGCTGCAGAGCCGATGGTGTTGGATAGCAGCAGTGATAACCTAGCAGCGGTGGGATGATGATGAGAGCACTGGAGAAATCCTTTACTGGGCCACCAGCCTGTCTGAAGTCTGTGGGGTTTGAAGACTAAGACTGCATCCAAAGGTATTCCTGTGGTTTATAGTGACCTTATAAATGGTAAAACGTTTAGTTTAGTATTTGTGAGTGTTTGTATAAAAAAAAAAAGCAGATGGCTATAAAATAGGCTAATGTAAGTAGTTTTACACTTTTTTTTTCCACCTGTGGACAGAAAGGAAATAGTAATGCCGAATCAGATGAGCGCAAACAATTACAAATTATTGGTTAAGTTTTCCAGCAAGTGCTAAGATAGCTTTACTTATAGCCGAGTTGTAACGTGATCCTCCTGCCCATCTTTCCACTGGTTTATAAACAAGTCACAAGCCTCTCCCCATGAATCAAACACATCCTCTGACGAGTCTATAAGCTTGGAATTAGAGGAACAAATACTGGAAGCACAGTGAAGGGAGCTGGTACAAACCACAGGGCACTCCTTGCTTTGTCCTGTAAGTCTTGTGTTCCCACTGTAGTCCACCTCACTGAGGTTAATTTCACTTTTGGAACAATTCTCTTCTTTCTCTTTATCAATCTGAGAATATTTAATGTCTTTCCACATGTAGTGTGGCTGAATAATTCCATCTGAAATAGTGTACATGGGTTCTGAATTTGGTTCAGGTACGTGTCCGTTCATCTTGGAGAAAAGCAGGCCGAGTCTTTTAAAGGACTCCTTCTTGGAGCTGGAAAGCCTCTGAACTCTGTTTCCATTTCGGACAAAGGAGCGCTTACTGATCCCGTTGCTTTTTGGCTTCTCTTCCACCATATCGATCCCAGACATAGTTTTAATTAGAGCAGATACATTGAAGTCCTTTTTTTTGTTGGCTACATTGAAAGACACGCTCTTGGCTTTGGATTTTTCTCCAGCACCATCCTCGTTTATTTCATCCTTTTGGGACACCTCTGTGCTGCTGGTAGAATAACTTCTCCTCTGGGGCTTCCTATTTCCTAAGAGGTCAAGAACTTCATAGCGAAAACTTGAGATGTCCTGTTTTAATTCCTAGCGCAAGAGGAGAAATGAGTTACACTCAGTAGCTTTATCTGTGACATGAAAGAATGATCACGTTCCCTTGTGAGAGCTGTTCAGAGTTATGCAAATGGCTGATACAAATTACACTTACAAAAAATACCACATACATCATCATCATTCAGTGACAGGAAAAAAAAAAAGTATTGGTAATCCTGAGAATTGGCGACCTTACAAAATCTTTCTCTCCAAAGGCTGTGGGACTGATGCTCTTGACCCAACCCTCTCTACCCACCCCCCCACCCCAAAAAATAAGTCAAATAAGACATTATAGATGAGTGAAATTGAGAAATATGGCAGGAATCCTGTTTAGTTGATAGGCCCAACTTTCACTTTGTTGGTAAGTGTTCTTTGTATCCATTAACCCACACGCATTCCCTGGCTCGCTCTGGGCTAAGATTAGGAATGTGATGTTAAATCAGATACTTCCTTCCTACCATTTTCCAATGCTTTTGTCTACATAACATATTGTATATTAAAATCTGGGAGGTGATCATATAAGGAGACACTCCAATAATACTCTCTGCTCAAAACCCTCCCACATGCAATCGTACATGTTCCCAGCTCCAGTAGTAGTCCTATTTCCACAGCAGCTTACAGATCATAACAAGTTAGTGTGAACTCTGCGAGTGGCTACTTGGATTAATATAATAAATTATTATTAAGGAATAATAAATTACCTTGAAATTTTCTTCAGTTAAACCTTCGTTGGTTTTGGAAGTTCTTATCATTGCTGCAACGTATCTTTTCACAAGATTTCTTATCACTTCCTGGAATAGGAAACAATACGAGTGATTCAACTGCTGACTCAGACCAAACTCTGTTCTTACTGTGCTTCATTGAGTTCTTACCAACAGTGGCTGTCCTGACTCTACTGTCTAAAAACAAAATCACTTACCATTGGAAACAGAACCCTTTCTTTTAAACAGGACAAACCTCTGGAAAGAGTTATATATCTTTCATCTTCAATGCTCAGTTGTTAACTACAGGGAGCAGGTATTTTGTACATGTAAATGTTGTAGAAAAAAAAATTCTTGATGTTCTTAAATGTCCTCAAACCGTTTAATCTCAGCTGCTGAAAGTTTTTAAGATTACCAATCTCATGCGTATGTGCTGTGTATCCTGATAGGCTAAGCTTGCCGCTTGAAGATTGTTTATCAAGTATGTGAAAGCCAAGGAGGGTATGTTGACAACAAACAACCTGAAGAACAGCCAGGATCCCATGGGACAATGCACATTCACGTTAAACCACATCTGCCTGCTGCCTGGGCGTTCCATAATGGCAGGTTAGAATCTCCTTTCAAGGGTGGTGCAGTGCCTGTGGACAGTGCTGGAAGGACCCTCGGAGACTTCTCTAAGGGCTCTCGCTCCTCCGTGGTACCGGGGCTGTTTGTTACGGTACAGGGTTTTGGTAGGATGAGATCCATTTTGCTCTGTGTTCCGTGTACCTCCTTGCTGGCTTTACATCAGCAAACTGGTACTTTGAGCTTGTACATTTATCGGTGCTGGCCGACACACCCAGAGGTTGATCTCTGTATACAGAAGAGACTACTCCAAACTTTGCCTTCTTTTCCCCCATTTCGTAAATAGGGATAACAAGTCTGAGCAACACCAAGCATGAAGATGGTCTCTGCACCAAGGTTTTACTGGGAGGTTTTTTTTTTAAGAGATCCCACTGTTGATACCCGTAAGCTGTGCTGTGAAGTCAGAAAGTACCAAATGTCTATTGTCAAAGGTGACTGATTATGTTGAACATCAGATAAAGATACTCTTCAAAAAGCAGATGTCTTAAGTAAGACAAATTACTAGTGGCTTTTGACAGCATAGCCTAATGTACCACCTAACATTCCGGAGAACTTTTTTTCCTTCCAGTGTGCTGGCATAATACATCACATTGAATTCAAGTACTGAAGCTGGTGTTTTTAATACAATTTCATCCTTTTGTAGGTTGACTTTAATGAGTACTCGATGACAGGCAGGCTGAGAATAAACAAAACCAGCAAAATTCAACAAAGAAACTATTCCTCCTTCCTGAGCTGTCCAAAACAAAAGAAAATCCCAACCACTGTTTGAGTTAGGGATGCTTCACAAAAAAGAGCAGGAGAGGAACAATTCAAGAGTGTGTAAAAATGCAGCAAAACTAGTTTTAATCAGGATGACATGACAGCCTGGTCCCTCTGATGGCAATGGGGATGTCACCTTTGACTTCAGCAGCCAGGTTGATACCTGGCAAGTCTTCCACTACTTCAGAGGGGGTGAAAGGCTAGGAGTGATATACTGAGCCATCCCACCTCTAATGAGGAAATGTTTTAATCCATGATAAGCAAAATCCTCTTAGAGGACCTACACTTATCAAAATATATTCTAGAAGCAAGCAAGAATTGAGGTATTAGAAAATGAGCAGGAAGAAGAAAGAGCAAGTAAAAACTTCATGTGCTCAAGAGTTTACCTGGTAATGTTGATTCTGAATCAGGTTGTCGGCATGCCGTTCCTGGAAAGGGAAAGGCACAGATATGTTACCTGTTTAGTCCTGACTTTAGAGCTCCTGATGGCTCTTAGCAAGTTATGATCTAGCCACCTTCTACTGCACCAGCAGAGCACTGGCCCTTGCGATCCTGACCATGCACAAGCACCCTTGAAAAATGAAGTATAAAACCATGCAAGCTCCTTACTGTGAATGTCTTGAGGTTTTCATGCCTCTTCTGTTCATTGTCAGAGTCGTTGCCTGGGCACAGCTGATTGTGAATCCACTTGCAAAGGTACCAGACTGACTTGGGACTTGGAACGATGTTAAAAGGAGGGGGCAGAGTGGCACCTTCATCAAAGTAACTCATCCAGAGCTTCGTCCGTGCAAACTTCCACTCAATATCCGCATGGTCCTATCAGAGAAGGAAAGAGACTATCAACAGCTTCAGGCAGGCCTTCCTGGAGCAAATGCCCATGGCTGAGGAGGTGACATGAGCAGCGAAGGATTTCTCCAGCTGCAGGTAAAGCAGTGTCGCTTCTTCCATCTCCCTCGCTGGGAGCGTACTTAAAAAAATCAGTGTGAAATGTAGCTAGAGAGTAAAAACACCAACCATTGAGAAATGAGATGATAGCAATATTCAGCAAAAAGAATTTCACGTGCTAAAGCCCAGCTTTGTCCTTTAGAGGTTGTGCTTATTAGTTTGCTAATACAAGAAGCAAGCAACACATTTCTTATTTTGCTTTTTGCTAGCACTTTTACTATCACAAACCATTGTTTCTCATATCTAAATCCAATGCCTTCTCACATTCTTCCCTGGAAAAAGATCTTTCACACTGTTTTTTGATTTGTTTTCTATAGCATCCATTAATTCAGGTCTTATAAGGAAGTGACACATTTTGTGTGTGCCATATTTTAAGTCTTCCCTCTGCGTTATCCTTGCACAAAACAGGAGACATTTTACTGTTTGGGTTTGGTTTTTTTTATTTATATTATCACCATGCTAGCTTGCTGTGCTCTAGTGTTTTTCATCCCACCAAAGTAAAGGTGGAAAGTTAGTAGCATCATTTTGCAGCTGCAGAGATAGGCACACGGTCCATACAGTCCCCAGGAAAGGAGTACCGAGTCTATGCAAGACAGTGACCTTACAGACTGCAAAATGGCGGTCCCCAAATCAAGCTATTTGCAGTCTAGTCCGTGGAATCAGCGAGGCTGTTCTGCCCAGGAACAAACTGCACATTCCCTTCAACATCAGGGCAGAGACATCTACCTACAGCCTGGATTGGGAGAGAGGCTGCAGCTATTCCAAATGGATTTCATGCTGTTTCGTGCTAGTTCTAAAGTGAAAAAAATGCCACTGTTTTGTATGTTCTGCAGAAATTCTGACACTAGACAGAAAAGGAAGGGAATACTTTGAAGGCTTCAAGCCAAGCAGTGCTGAACACAGCTCACAACAGTACACTGAATTTAAATGGTAAATTTGTGTGTTCTTATTATTGCAGAGTATAGTGCTAAGCTGATGGTTATGACATTTTAGCTGTTCAGCATTTATGTTAGCAGTATCTGACATGAGATTAAGCCAAAGCCGTGATGATCTAAACTAAGTAACAGCGCAAGGTAGGAGAAAAGGACAATGTGGGATTTGAAGTTTCTGAGGAGCTTTCAACCAGGCTGGAACAAGCAGCCCTCTTGAGTGAGGGATGCTGGGCTGCAGGGCAGCAGCTCTCAGAAACAAGCAGTGAAGTGTAGGACAGGGAGTTTAATAAAATATGGCTGAACATCATGCCCAAAAAATTACTACACTGGCTTTCTGGCTACACTCCAGTGCTCTGACATGGGTAAAATATGCTCACATTTTGACAGTGAGGTGCAGCTGAACTCCATTTTAGTAATGTATTCAAATTATGTGCAGCTCTCGATTTAAAACGACTGCGTCAGTGGCCCAGGAGCACATTAGTCTCTGCAGATGGTCTGAATCAGCCCAGAACACTCTATCCCCTGCCAACTTACTGAAAGGGCTGTTTTCAAGCCGTAGGTAGACTCAGAGAAGCAGCCTGCCAGGCTTCTTTTTGCCTCATACATTACCAGACCCCATAAGCAGGGAAATTGCAGCAGCATCATGAAGCATTAGAAGCTGATGCTGGTCGAAATGAAGTTCTGGGTAGTAAAAAATGTGGTTTGCAGCAGTAGAAATAATTGCAACCAAAAAAAAAAATAATAAAGTCCTGCTGATTTTTTCTTCATTTGTCTCTACCTGCAGGCTGCAGCAAGCTCAGCAGAGCAGGACAAGCTGGTGCCATGCAGCTGCTGTTCCTCCTTCCCAGACGCTGGGTTAGTGCTCTGAGCTCCACAACCAGCCCACAGGACAAGTCCTGCCTCATAACTGCTCAGAATTAAAGGCAGAGCTGTCCCAGCCTCTTCCAGAAGCAGGACTGGCTGCTCCCTACTCAGTCCTAAAGGCTCACTCATGTCCATCTCTCTACCTGAACATTTCCTGGTCTGGGCAACTTCAGTCGAAACCATCTTCAGAGGAAGAGTAACAGGCATCACATGCCAGGTGAGCCAAGTGGCCGCTGGGGAGAGCATCACATCTCTCTCGGCAGAGAAGGGGCTGAGCTGCAGCTTTCTGTCCTCCACCGGGACATGCTCACTACCAGGGAAAACCCAGTGGTGGCTGCATCTTGAAAGGCTGCAGACAAGAGGTGCGTTGCTGGTTCAAGCATCTAAAGCATTTTGTAAGGGCAACAGCTGCATGAGACCAGCATCAAGGTACTCAGCCTTGCTGTGAGTAAGCCTTTCTCAGGGTGTGCAGGAACTACAAACACCTGGCAACGCTGAGAGCACTGTCTGGGGCAGGTGGAGAGTTTGGGGTAAGGCAGTAGCTGAAGGAGAGCGCAAAGACTGCTGTTTTGGATAGAGACGTATATTTTAAGTTCTTTGTCAATACAGGAGTAGGTGTAAATGTCCTATTGAGGGCTCAGAAGGGAGAAGGCAGTTTGGAGGTTATAAATCCACCTTTCCCTTTTACAAAGGTCCATCAAAAGTCCAGCGTTGGTGGTGGGATGGGATCGGATGTGGTGGCTTGGCAGCAATTTCCTTCAGCACATTATACAAAGGGCATGTCCTGGGCAGAGGCAATTTAGCCGTGGATGTTGGATGCAATTTGTAGAGGAGGATAAGGCAAAACTATAGCTTGGGGATTGCAAATCAGTTTCTGGGAAAAGAAGGAAGAAAAAGGCTAAAAAAATTTTTCTGCAGAGAGTGTTTTTGTTTTTTTTTTTTTTTTCATTTTAAAATAGCTTAAGGGGACCGCATGGGCTTGACTAGGGGCTGAATGCAGGTGCAGGGCAGTGCTGTGAAACTTAGCGGGAGTTTCTCATTGGGGAAGTTTTGCGGTTGGTCTGAACAAATCCCTGTTGATCTCAACATGTCCATGGGTGCAGCTGGTGGATGCCGGCTTCAGCCCCACCTGTATTTTGTCCTGTGCAGTCTCAGTCAACAAATGCAGTATGACCTCTCTTAAAAGACAGACCCTCTGCACAAAGCTCAAAGTATCTTTTCTTTCTCTCTCTCTTTGCTGCTGCTGTGAATTCCCCAGGGTTTACAAACTCAGCATGTCTCAATTATTCATCTTGATGTTTTGAGAACCTGAGCAAATCAGATGAGAGCTCCTGGCAGCAGTTTTGTGTTGGAAATATATAGCAAAGAGACATTTCAATTTTACTGAGAATGTCTTTGTGTGCCAGGAAATCACCATTTTCTTGGTTCGAGCTCTCTTTAGTGCTGTAAGCAGTGAAATCTGCACGCAAAACTACAGCCTTCCTAACGCTCCTCCCTGCATTGAGTACCAAGAGTACCACGCTTCAGCAATTACTCGATACCCAATTCAAATCTGAAGCACTCGTGAGTTACCACCAGTGCATCAGTCATGGCGTTGGCTGTGAACGTGGCCCGGTGGACCACCAGACGTGCTCCAGGTTTTTGGTGCATCTCCCCAGTGACTGCAGGCCACTGGGCAAGATTCACATTTTTGAGAGCTGCCTGACTCTGAGCCTGCTTTGCATCAAAGCTGTTGCAAAGATTAGATGTACTGAACACTCAAAGCAAGCTTTTGAATACCAATACAGTGAGAGTCCAAGCTGAGGGCCCTTCCCTTGCTCAGCCTGGGCCCGGCCACCCCACAGAGCTATGCAGCGATGGACAAGCCCGGACCTCGTGCTGGAAGGTTCAGTGCCACTTGCAGCGGTGCTGCACGAGCCCCTGCTTTACAGAGGCGGGACACAGGAGATGGCCGTGTTGGAGCCCGCTCCCAGGGACAGCCAGCACGGACGTAACCCTGGGAGGCTTCGGCAGAAGTGGGTTTCCTAAGAGAGAGAGGACAGGAGGAAGCGCAGGGGCTCTGCCCCGGCTCAGGGAGCTCTGGCAGAGGGCATGGACCACGGGGAGCTCGGCAAGATGTGCCCTGCAGTGCTCTGCCACGGCGAGGAGCTTCCAGCAGACCCACTGCGGAGCGAGGGCAGGATCCTCACAGACCTGTGCTGTCTCATACCATGTCCTTAGATGACAACTTTTTGGTAACATTTATAATAAGCTAAAGAAACATATCTACTAGCTTTGCAAGTGTGACCTTGTTGCTTTAGGGATTTAAATCCAAGTTTGGATTTCACTGTCCTCTCTTTGAGCTTCTGTTGCTTTTGCCTTTGTTCTTGTCACCATTTTCTTTCAAGCACTGCTCATCATTTCAGCTATAAAACGCTACTTCTTAAGAGGGCTGAGCCTTCAAGCTCAAAGAACACATGAACTCAAAGAAACCAGCACTCCATTTCTCTGTGAGAAGAAAAACCTGTATCACTTACTATCACAATGCAAATGTGTCATACTGGCCACATAATCCTCTTTCAAATCTCTGCCATTTGAAGTGAGAATTAATCTCCCATAAAGATTTCCCTGTGGGATTGCTGAAGCCATCTTACTGTAGCAGTTGCAAGGATTTTCTAATTCAGTTAAAGTGATGTATTCACAGATGTGCCAGATTTTAAATAATTACCTGCTACACTAATTATCCAGGATAATTCAAGCATTAATCTCCATCTTCATCTCTGTGTTGAAAATCTGTTGTTTACATTTTGTGAAATGTTTTCTATAAAGATTTCCATCACCATCTCCTTGCTAGGCCATATGGTTTAGATCATACTTTGCCAAATAACAGCCAGCTTCTCAGCTGGTACTGCTCCAGCCAGCACAGACCCAGCAATGGAGGACTGTTTCAGTTCTCTGTCTGAGATGGCTACCGCTGCTGCAGCCTCTAGGTTCCTCATCTTCTTCATGTGTTTGGTATTTCAGCTCCCTTGTGGCTGGAAAGCTGACAGAGGAAAATGCCGTTACTTTTAACTTAGCACACAGGAGCTGAAGCAC